GTGTTGTGCCCAAGTTAGCCAAAGATGACTTTTGTTTTATGTTTGAGCAGGTAAAATGTACGTTACATGTTTTGTAGTTTTTCCAAGTTTATTTTTTTAAGTCTGTAGTCAGAATTTTTAGGGGGTTTTCTTTGATCAAACATTGTTTTCTTTAACCTGGAATGAATCCACAGCCTCTCATTTCCTGTGGAAATAAAAGCATGATCTCTCCCCCAAAGCAATATACGTTTTGACTTAAATTCTGAAGTCAAGACATTTTCAAAATATACAGCTTGGTTTAATCCAGCACCCTTCACATCCAGTATGTCCTAGCAGCCAAAACATTCAAAGACAACACAGTAATATACAGGATCCATACTCTCTGTGTATTTTCCATCTTTATGTGGCTGTTTTCTTTTTATTACTTTACTCCCTTTTTAAGTACTTTACTATTATAAACTATTTTTATATAACCTTTTTCTTTTTTCTCCCAAGCCTGTATATATTTTTAAACATACTGTGACCCATTTAGAGGTTCTTTCTGTCTAGATATGTCTTTACTACATATCTGTAACCTTTTCTGTCTAGAGAAGCAAAACCCAAAACCTGCCATATAGCACATTGGCTTGGCTCATGCTGGTGACTCCAGCCTACAGGCAATGGTTGAGATATGCCTCTCTGTACTATATCCCATGTAAGAGACTGTAGTAAGCTGCCATGCAGCAGCTTAGCTCATGGCATGCTGGCCTGGCTCATGCTGACAGCTCAAGTCCACAGGCAACCGTACTGTGGCCAGCATCAGAGACACGAGACTAGGAAGCTGCATTTGGCTCCATTCCTGCATGTTTTTTGGAACTTCCCCTTAAGCTTTGTCAGGTTCCTCAAAGAAATTCTGACCTCATGTTGAGCACCATTTGTAGACAAACTTTTCTTTCCCACCTGCCAGTTCCCAAATAACCAACTCAGAGATTTAATATTATTTATGAATGCTTGGTCAATAGTTCAGGCTTGTTACTAACTCTTACATTTAAATCAACCCATATGTCTTATCTGCCCTCTACCACATGGCTCATGGCTTGTTACCTCATTTTCTACACATCCTGCTTCCTCTGCATCTGCTGGTGTCTCTCTGACTCTGCCCTTCTTCATCCCAGCATCCTTAATTTGGTTGTCCCACCTATACTGCTGTTTGGCTACTGGCCAGTCAGTTTTTTATTAAACCAATTCAAGTGACAAATCTTTACAGTGTACAAAAGGATTATTCCACAGAACTAGAGAACCCTGATTAAAACACTAATGTGTGAAGATATATGCACAAAGTCATATATTCCCAGGTATGGACCATCAAGATAATTCAAATGTCTGTCAGGAGCTGAAATGAAGTACTGCTAAAGAACCATATGATGTATGTGTGGGTGTGGAAAGGGGACATAAATGATATGTAGCGGGAGAAAAAGGAGTTAGGTTCTCCTCATTCTCAGAAATGTTATTTCATGAGACTCAACATCTCAATGAAGCCCTGTTGTATAACAGTATCCTCCTAGATTGAAACATTACATCCTACAAAAAGTTCCTTAAATGGAAAGGTAAATGACTGAAAATAGCTTCAGGGAGTCCCTGAAACTGAATTCACCAGGCCCCTCCCTGCCAGAGTAAGCAATAAAAGCTGAGAGTCCCTCCCAGATGAGCAGAACTAAGCTACAAAAGAAGATCCACAGACAAGCCAAGCTGCAAAGAAGACTGTGAGCAGGCAAGCTGCCTGGAAGAAGCAGAAACCAGCTTAGCTACCAGGAAGAGGTTTCAACCAACTGAGGTACCTGGAAAGGACACTCTCCAAACTGTTGAGCTGCCTGTGCTCCAGGTTCCCAGCTTTGTGAGCTGTCACCCATCCTAGCATAGGATTTGGTGATGCAGCTGTCTTTTGGTTCCTGTCAATTTTGTTTCCTGTCAATAACCCCTCACCCATGTCCTATAAGTGACACCAATAAAACTCATTGGTTCACCAAGTTGGACTTTGCTGGTATCTGTGCTTTGGTCTGTTGTGGGATCCCTGTGGTAGTTTGAGTGTAACTGACCCTCATAATCTCATAGGGAGTGGCACTATTAGGAGGAGGTGTGGCTTTTTTCGAGTGACTATGGCATTGTTGAAAGAAGTATGTCACTGTGGGGGTAGGCTTTGAGATTTCCTATGCTTAGGATACTGTCCAGTGAGTCAGTTGACTTCCTGTCCCCTGCAAGCCAAGATGTAGCCAGAAACACATCTGCCTGAATGCCACCATGCTCCCCACCATGATGATAATGGACTCAACCTCTGAAACTGTAAGCAAGCCACCTCAATTAAATGTTTTCATTATAAGAGTTGCCATGGACATGGTGTCTCTTCACAATAAAAACCCAAACTAAGACAATCCCTATCTCAGGTGAGTAGACATGTATGTTGAATCTTCCTAGGAGAAGTTTGGTCATATGAGCCCTTCCCCATTTTATAACTTTTTCTTTCAAATACCCAAGGTAGAAGGAAAAGACAAACTTTAGCTGGAGGTTGCTAGCAGCAGCTTTGGTTGCCTCTCTCCACCATGAGTGGGCAGTCTAGCACCAATAGGGGCAAGTGAGAGAGGTGGTACTTACCTGATGGTCATCTTCTATAAGCATTTCAGGTTTCATAACTAGTGGATTGAACCCCAGAATCAGATTCTGACCCATCTAGCATCTAGCTTTTTCTTAAAAGAGCGAAACATTTCCTTAAGCAACCTCACAGAACAAAAGTGAAAGTGCACAAATGTGGACTGAACAGTTAGAGAATGAATTATATAAAAAATAATAATTCGACATGGCATTCAAGTTTCTTAAATATTTTAGGCATATAGGTAGCTGGAACAGAATTTGTCATAGAAATATTCCATTATAGTTACTATGTAGCTGAGAGAGTAATAACATAGTAAGTTATTTGTTGTTCTAGCAAATGCATTATCTAAGAGCATGGAGAACCATCTAGAAAGATGGCCGCTTGAGTGATAGAATTACTACTAAATTTGTGTTTTATTATGCTTTTCTGTGTCCCTTCAAGTTCTCCATCATGATTCCAAGTCCTTTATAAAGTTCAAAACAATTACTAAAAAATTTCATTTCCAGAAAATAATTTTAAGCCACCCTTGTTAATATGAGAATGAACAACTCTGTTTCTTCATCTTTACCTGTGTAAAATCCCCATTTGTAGTTTAAGTTCATTGTGACTGTTAGATGGTGTGGTGGTTTGGATGAGAATGGTCCTCATAGATTCGTAGATTTGAATGCTTGGTCCCAGTTGGTACAGCTGGTTGGGGAAGATTTGAAGTTGTGGCCTTGTTGAAGAAGATATGTCACTGGGATCAGGCTTTGAGGATTCAGAAGCCAACACCAAACCCAGTTTCTCTCTCTCTCTCTCTCTCTCTCTCTCTCTCTCTCTCTCTCTCTCTCTCTCTCTCTCTCTCTCTCTCTCTCTCGGCTGTATAAGAGAAGTGAGCTCTCACCTACTCCAGGGCCGTGCCTGGCTACCTGCTCTCATGCTCCCTGCCATGATGGCCATGATCTCACCCTCTGCACGTGTAAAGACTCAATAAGCTTTTTCTTCTATAAATTGTCTTCATCATGGTGTCTCTCTCTTCACAGCAATGGAAAAGTCTCTAGTACCTGACAGTCATGGAGCCACTGCTGAGATGGCTTCACTTTCTGCCCTCCTCTCTGGATGGTTGGATTGTGAGGGATCTATAGTCCTGGGAGCCTGTTCCTCCACGGGGCAGGACAGATGTGTTAATACTGCACTGTAAGGTTTGTCCCCTTTGGTCTTCTGAACCTACTGGTCCTTAGCTGAGGCCCAGCAGGTCTCTGGGGGCTTTCTGAAGTCTTCCGACTCACAGGGCAATGGGAAAGAGATGTGAGTCTCCATCGTGTTCTTCGGTTCCTATGATTATCCATCCACCTGAATAGTGGAAGAAGCTTGAAATACCCCCATGTCATTTTTTAAGTCAGTTCTTGTAGCTCTAAGTAGTCAACTCAGCTCCTCACCCACCTCTTCCAGTACTTCCTCTATACATGGATAAAAACCCAACTGCTTTTTGTTTTGTAGCCACAGGGTGGCAGCATTACTTCATAACTAACTTTGCTCTGCTGCAGCTAGGGCTTTTTGTTGTTAGTGGTGTTCTGTTTTGTTTAGTTTTGTTTTGGTTTGGGAGGGAGGGGGTTGTTCATTTAACAAAAATTATATATATTTATAATGTACAACATAATGATTTGAAATATGTGTACATTGTGGAATGGACTATACAGAGAGACCTTGTCTCAAAAAAAACAAAAAACAATAAATAAAAATTATTAATTCTCTGAGTTTCACATAGGCATACAATATATTTTTATTGTATTTGCCCTCCACTCCTCCCCTAACTCCTCCCAGACCCACCCCCACCGTGTTATCTATTTCTTCTTTGTTTTGTTTTAATAATCCACGAGTCCAGTTTGTATTGCTCATATACTCATGGGTGTGAGACCATCCACCAGAGCCTGGGGTCAGTTGACCAGGGACTTACCCTTAAAGAAGTCTGACTCTCTTCCCTAGAAGTCCTGACTGTCACTGGCACTCAAGTAGGGGTGGGGAGTCATGAGCCTGATTAACTATAGTCTCCATGCTAGACAACAGATCTCTTGAACTTATTCTTTCTGGCTAATGGAAATGTATCTTTTGACCAACTCCCCAATCTTCTCCCCGCCCCCAGACTCTAGTAACTGTTCTTTGAAATGGTTAGTTCTTAGTTTCAGAGGCCCATCAAAGGCAAGGCTCCTAGAATCAGTTCCATCAGCTCGAACAGAGTCAGAAGACAACGAAGTCTTTCATGAGCTTCAAAGAGTGAATAATTGTCTGTAGACTGCTGGGTTACAAAGGATAGATAGATACATCTACCATACACACACACACACACACACACACACACACACACACACACACACACACACACACACGCACAGCGAGCTGAAGGATCATTGCAGAAGAGAGGGTAGAAAGCTTGTAAGAGCCAGAGTCAAGGAGAATCCACGTGTGCTGGACACAACAGGATGCCTGCATTTATGAGTTCACAACTGTGGTTGCCTGCTCAAGATTAAGCCAGTTTACACTCCAGCTTGGAGGAGGAGGCTCATGACTCCCTACCCCTACTTGAGTGCCAGTGACAGTCAGGACTTCTAGGGAAGAGAGTCAGACTTCTTTAAGGGTAAGTCCCTGGTCAGCTGACCCCAGGCTCTGGTGAATGGTCTCACACCCGTGAATATATGAGCAACACAAACTGGACTCATGAATTATTGAAACAAAACAGAGAAGAAATAGTAACACGGTGGGGGTGGGTCTGGGAGGAGTTAGGGGAGGAGTGGAGGGCAAATACAATAAAAATATATTGTATACCTATGTGAAACTCAGAGAATTAATAAAATACTTCTTTTTTTCAGGTTTTGGTTTTTTTTGAGACAAGGTTTCTCTGTATAGCCCTAGCTGTCTTAAAACTCACTCTGTAGACCACGTTGGCCTTGAACTTACAGAGATCTGCCTTCCTCTTTCTCCCAAGTGCTGGCATCAAAGGTATGAACCACCATGCCTGACTTAAAATACTTTTAAAAGGTTAAAAAAAAAAAAAAGGCTTCCTTTTGTGTTGATTTTCACAGAAATTTAATTTGCACACAATTTTGTGCAAAAATATCCTGCTTTGGTTTCTATAGGTCTCAGGTGGTAAAGCAAAAATCAACTAAAAAATAATAGTGATTGTTTGAGCACCTACCAGGTTCAACCACCCCATGCAGTACGTTCTTCATTACTGCTAAGAAATACAGTAAGAGTATAAGTACTATAAATGAAATAGAGGGCCATGAGGAGGAAATCATATTTAATGCTTAGTCCTGTCTGAATCCCTCTTCTGTTTCGATAATAAAAATGCTTAAGGCTGCACAATTTATGGAAAGAGAGGAGTTTTTTGGGTGGTGGTGGTTTTTGGTTGTTGGTTTTGTTGGTGTTTGTTTTGTTTTGTTGTCTATTGATTTTGGAGGCAGAATTTCTAGAGTGTGGCATGCCCCTGGCTTCTGATAAGAGCATCATGCTGCATTATAACATGACTGAAAAACAAAAGGGGAAGCCAGAATGTGCAAAGAGGAGGCCTGTGAACCAGAGAAAGGACAGAGGACAGTGACTTATTTTGTACTAAGCAACTGTTGTACGGCATGGTCCTTGTGCAAACTGTCACCATCTTTATTAGCTCATCTGTGCCTGCTTACAAAAGACCAAGCTGGGCTTGTGGACCCTTGACTCTCCCTCATAGGAGGGATTGGGGAGCCCTTTGAGCCTCACCTGAGTATCCATACAGACACTCCACCCACTCATTTGTATGCAGTTCTACCCTAATTGTATATGGCCACTGGGTCTCTTGGGGAGAGGCTAGGGTATTTTGTTTGAGAGGGGAGTTCAAGAAGAAGACTCCATCTATAAGGCTATGGGAAGCCATCATTCATGCAAGGTGATTTTCCAGTGTGGCTGCTTTGAGATTACCAGGCTCCTGTCAGTAAACCCTCACTCATGCTCTGTAGATAAGCCCAATAAAAACCACTGGTTCCTCAGGAGGAAGTCTGGTGGAATCCTACTGTGGTTTGTTGTTGGGACCTTAGAAGAAAAGAGTGTAGACATTGCCAAGCCCCCTCCCCAACAAGGAGAAAATTTTCACAACACCAGCTTTCTTTGTTACCAGCCGATTTCTTAGAGGCAGACATTAATCCTTTCTGTTTGGGAAGCTCCACTCCAGTCTCACTCCTCCCATTCCAGACCCTGCCCCTCAGAAAGCCGGCCAAAGGTCGGCTCCTCCCCTGGAGCTACTCAAAGACCATACCTACAAGGTATTTAAGACCCAGCCCATAGACTTGCCAGGTGGTTTCTCCTCTTCCCCTGGGACCACCCGGGAGTGCTTTGCTCAGATTAAACCTGGGTTTATTAATTTGGCCTCATCTGACTTACTGTATCATGGAGTTACTCACTACTGGTGGATTTTTACTTATCACTTTCCAGGGCGGTGTTCTCATGACCTGATCACCACCCAGCTCCTTATGGTCCTGCCATCTCCCACGACTGCTACAATAAGACCAAGCTTTCAGCAACTAAGGCATGGGGAAACTAACCACATTCAACCCATGGCCGGGTTGATGACTCATTTTGAATCAACTTTTGTGGAGGATTCAAGGTGTGTATCCACAGTCATTGTGATTTCATGTATTCATCTGGTTGTTCTAGCACAGTTCATTCACTGGAAAGACTGTCCTTTCCCCATCACCTTTGCACACTTGCTGAAGAGGAGTCGCCCGCATCTGCCTGACTCCGTTTCTAGATTGTCCTCTGTTCCACTGGACTATGCGTACATACAGCTGTTGTGTCACAGTCATCTTCTTTTTTTTTTTTTTTTAATTTTGGTTTTTCAAGACAGGGTTTCTCTATGTAGCCCTGGCTGTCCTGGAACTCACTCTGTTGACCAGGCTGGCCTTGAACTCGGAGATCTACCTGCCACTGTCTCCCAAGTGCTGGGATTAAAGGCATACGCCACCACTGCCTGGTTGTGTCACAGTCTTAACCAGTGCAACCCTCTAGGAAGTTTTGAAATGGGGTAGTGAGAATACATCAACACTTACTAAGTTAGTTATTCTAAATTCTTTGCATTTCATATAAACTTTAAATTCAACTTGCTGATGTCTACAAAACACCTTGCTAGAATTTTACTGATATTTCATTGACTCTATAGTTCAAGTTGGCATATCAGCTATAACGAGTCTTTTAACCCACCAGCATAGAATAGCATAGATAGACATAAGCTGTTGCTCCTGAGTCGCTGAAAGGCAAGCTGGTGGAAAGCCTAATTTACAATGACTGGTTCCAGATTTGGGCACCAGATGAATGGGAAAAAGAAATAAAAAAGGAAATGACATGACTCTCCTAGGTATGGTGGAGGAGACAGTTTAGTGTTGATAAAAGGAAGAGCATAGCCAGAAGCAGGGACATCTGGAAGAGTCCAGAGTGGACATGATCAGATTGAGCCAGGCCATGTGAAGAGAGGTGGGAGGGAAGGGGAAAGAGGAGAGAGGAGCTGTCAATCAAGGACAGCTTGGGCCAAGAGACTGGCATATCCAAAATGACTGGGTTATATAGGAAAGGGCAGTCCAGCCCTCAGATTGGAGACATTTAGAGGAGGGGGCAGGGTATGCCACCCAGGAGGGCCCTGTAACAGGTAGAAACTGAGGGATGCTGGGAGAACCTGGAAGCCAGCATCTCCTTTGATATGTTAAATAGGCACCTCTGCTGTTTGTCTTGGATTTGAGACCTAACACCTGGCAGCATCTGATAAAGCCCTTCTTGCTGCTTCATGCCCTGGTGAAAAACAGAAGGGTAAGAAAATGGGGTACGGCGCGGGTAGAGCAAGCATTCTTTCATCAGAGCCCACTCCTACAATGACGAATCTACTTGAAGCTATTCTTGATAACAGCATTCATTCATGAGAGTGGAGCCTTCCTAATCTTATCCCGTCTTAAATGTCTCATCTAAGGAGCACATACCAATAGGCATGCTAATGTGAATGGGGGAAAGCTCAGGAAATTCTAACCCTACACAAAGAACTACAGGCAACTAAGCAATGCTGAGAGCCAGAGAAATAGTCTTACCCAGGGAAAACTGGGTATCCAATACCAAGTGGTTAGTCCTGAAAACATAGACATGCAAGTAATGTTATACTGACTGAGCAGGTTGCATTTATATATTTAGGAATCTGTCTCTCACACACAAATAAACACACACACACACACACACACACACACACACACACACACACACACACACACGTTCATATGTAACACCAATTAAAGAAAAAGTGTTCATGAACGAAGTGTGGGGGGTGCATGGGATGGTTTGGAGGGAGGAAAGGGAAGGGGGGAAATTATATAATTATATATATTAAAAAATTAAAAATTATTTAAAATATTTTTAAATGCCTCATCTAGCAACCGTGTTGGTTAGTGTCTGTGTTTCTAACATGAACTTGGGGGAGAACACTGAAATATTAACTTTCTACTCCAGCCCTCCAACTCATGTCTTCTCATATGCACTTGTTCTATACAAATACAAAGTCTAAACCTCTAGCACCAACTGAGGAGTTCTAAGTGCAATCTCATCTGAATGAGCTCTGGGTGACTAATGGGACATCTTTTGGAAAAGTCTTCCCCAGATCTGAGCTGATAACATGAACAAACCACCATAGTAGTGGTAACCCCTGTAATCCCAGTGCTCAGGAGACAGAAGATTGTGAGTTCTAGGCCAGCCTGGGCTCAGTACTGAAACCCTGTCTCAAAAATAAATAAATAAATAAATAAACATAAGAAAACAAGGAGGGAAGGAAGCAAGGAAGAAGAAGAGGAAGAGAAGGGAGGGAAGAAGAGAGAAGGGGAAGGAGAGGTGAGGAGATAGGAGAAAGAAAAGAGGAGATTAACAAATGGCTTTCTTCTAGAACATGGCAATAGAGAAGGTATATAGTTGACCTCCCATTCCTTAAAAAGGAGAGATAACCAAGAGGAAATGGGTTACTGGCCCCAAACATATAAAAAAAAAATATGAACAGAGAAAGTAACCGTAGCCTTAATGAAGGGTTCACAATACGCCCCCATGGTCGGGCGTGTTTGCATATGCCCGGCGGACACTTCTGCCTAGCCAGTTCCAGGTCAGGATAGCCATTTCCGGGTCAGGGTGTCTCGCGCAACATAGCCATGTGATCTACGCACTTGTGTGGAGTAGTGACTTTGACCTGTGCACGCCCAGCCTTTAAAATCCGGTACCATGTTCCTGGTTCTTCTTCTTCTCCACACATGTGTCTCTTCCACAGGCCTGCGCACTCTCTGTCCCTTTATCTTTAATAAAACTCTTATTAGCAGATTCTGTCGTGTTTCAATAAAACTCTTATTAGCAGATTCTGTCGTGTTTCGTGACATTTCCTTGCAGGGTAAGAGCACAGCATCGCCAATTAACTAACACTTAAGGATTGGGGATAGTCTTCTGAATCTGTTCCATCCTGATCACCCTAGGGCAGGACTGACCTGAGAGCCCGGGTCTCAAACAACCCTGCTCTTCTGGATTCAGTAGGCTCGGTCTCACTAAAAGTTATTTGAGGCTGGATTTTCCAGAATTCTCCCAGACTAATGGTGCAGACCAGAAGCCCTGTGGTTCTGGGATCTTGGATGCTGCTCCACTCCCTAATGGGGGCTGTCTGTGGTGGGGCACTTTTATTTGGATTATTTTTGGCATTTTCACTTCTGTTTCCATGACCCAGCAGTTCTTACTTTTTTGTCCATTTCTTCCCATTCTGGCCTTGAGCATCTTAATCATGTTGGAGTCCCTGTCTGTTCTAATATCTGTGTCACATCTGCTTCATCTCTTCAAATTCTGCTTTTGCTTGCCATTTAGCAGCTATTGTGACTTTTATTGTACATTATGTTAGGCAAATAGGAGCTGATCTAAGAAGACTTTGGTATGAGGTGTTCTTGTCAGGATGAGTTGGGCGTGTTTGGTGTGTGCTGGTACCACAGGCAACTCTCCCTAGGTCAATGTTTCTGTCTCCCCTGCCTTTAACTTTGGGTCTCCCTATATGGTTCCCCTCAGAGTCTGTGTCTTTCAAATGTAGTGCATGATCACAGGGTAGACCGGTTTCAGTGGTGGGTGTGTGAGTGTGTGTATGTGTGTGTGTGTGTGTGTGTGTGTGTGTGTGTGTGTGTGTGTGTGTTCCATAGAATGGCTGTAAAAGTCTGAAAAGGCAAGGAGTTTCCAAGAGGACTGAGAGGCCAAAGCTCAGAAAATAACCAGGAAGTGGGAGTGTGCAGGGTTGAGATAAATGAACCAGCTGGACTTCTCGGGGAGCCACTGCCTATGCTGTCCCTGCTGCCACTGCTTCTGCCACCAATAGTCACAGGTCAGAATGGAGCTGCAGAGTTGAGTCTGGAGGAAGTGAGAGGGCAGGCTCAGGTCCAGGCTCAGGTCCAGGCAAAGGAGCAGGTGGAGGATGGACAGCAGAGGACCGTCCAAGTAGCCTGCATCAGCAGCCTATAGCTGGAAGTTTTCCTGGTCCCACCCAGTTCTGCGGTCTGGCAGTCCTGCAGCCACTCAGACCCAAATGAACACACAGAGGCTTAATATTATTTATAACTGCATGGCCATGGCTCTGGCTTCTCGCTAACTAGCTCTTACACTTAAATTAACCCATAATTCTTATTTATGTTTAGCCACGTGCCTTGGTACTTTTCTCAGTTCTGTCTTTACATCTTGTTTCCTCTGTGTCTGGCTGGCGACTCTTGATTCAGCCTTCCTCTTCCCAGAATTCTCCTCTCTGCTTATCTCGCCTATACTATACTTCCTGCCTGGCTACTGGCCAATCAGCGTTTTATTTATCAACCAAATCAGAGCAACACATGTTCACAGCATACAGAACGACATCCCCAGCAGCAGCTAGGATCAAACTGAGCTGAAATCCCTGTCTCTGTGAGAATTCTCTGCCTGTCTGCCCCTTGACACACTCCAGATAGATGGGGTCCACTGACATTGCCGGGCTAGCTGTCCACCTCTCTATGGGGTCCAGGTAAAGGAGTCATGCTCTCTCCTTGTCTGCTGTGCCCAGTAGGTTCTTGGGCTTGGTGTCCTGTGTGTCCCTACAGTCCCAATTCCATTCACCCAGATGAAATTTCTACTCCGAGGATTAAGTTGTTCGTCCGTCTGTGCCTTATGGAGGTGTTGGACAGATGCTGTCATTCACATGTCCACCCAGGTACAGTAGCATTCACCATCCTCAGAATAGGATAAAAAGCTGCTTATAAAATAGAGTCTGTCGCAGCAAGACTGTGTCTGAAAGCCCGCTGTTTTACACAATATGGAGGAACTGAGAGAGGAGCACAGCATGATCTCAACATTAGCCTGAGATAGTGTACAGAAAGTGATCAGCATTGTGCCAGACAGATGACAAGCATGTGGTGATTTTTAGTTCTCAACATTAGCCTGAGATAGTGTATGGAAAGGGAGCAGCATTGTGCCAGACAGATGACAAGCATGTGGTGATTTGTAGTTATCATAATTATTAAAATAATCATACCAGCCCGTAACTGTTGAGAACCTAACCAGTGCCAGGCTGTAGTGATGCACACCTTTAATCCCAGCACTTGGGAGGCAGAGGCAGGCAGATCTCTGAGTTTGAGGCCAGTCTGGTCTACAGCATGAGTTCCAGGACAGCCAGAGCTATTCAGAGAAACCCTATCTGGGGGGTGGGGGGGTGACACATAACCAGTGAGCACCAAAGCATGAGCCATATATGCTTGATCGCTCCCACCAAAGAGAAATTGGAGCCAAGCATGCTAGCATACATTCGTAATTCTAGCATTTTGGAGGCTGAAGTAGGTAGATCACTGTTTAAGACCAGCCTGGTCTACATAGTGAGACCTTTCTATAAAGACCTAAAAAAAAAAAAGAGAGAGAGAGCTTGAGTTAGGTGTGGTGGTACAACCCTGTACACCTCACTCTCAGGAGGCAGAGCAGGGGTATTGCCACAATCCAAGACCCACCTGATCTGCATACACATTTCTGGGCTGGCCAGTGAGATCCCAGAGCAAAACCAAAAAGGAAGAAAGAAACAAAAGGAAGCCAGCCCAACACAACTAATCCTCATCTTGTAGAAGAGCAAAGACCACACAAGGTGGAGTGAAGCCATACTTCAAGACAGGCGCCACGAGTCCTGAGAACATTCAAGGCAGGAGCACTGGTTCTGGTGGGCATGGGTGTTAGTTTTTCGGCTGCGTTGTGTTCTTACCCTGCAAGGAAATGCCACGAAACACGACAGAATCCGCTAACAAGAGTTTTATTAAAGGTAAAGGGACAGAGAGTGAACAGGCCTGCGGAAAACACGTGTGTGGAGAAGAAGGAGGAAGAAGAAGAAGGAACCGGGAACATGGCGCCGGATTTTAAAGGCTGGGCGTGGACAGATCAGCGTCACTACTACACGCAAGTGCGTAGATCACATGGCCACGTTGCGCGCCTACGTAGCCAATGGAACGTCACGGATCTTGGTCACGCGAGATGTCCTGACCCGGAAATGGCTATCCTGACCTGGAACTGGCTAGGTGGAAGTGTCTGTTGGGCATATGCGAACACGCCCGACCGTGGGGGCATGTTGTAAACCTTTCATCCCTGACTCTTCCTTTTTTAAAAAAGAAAAAAATTGTGGTTGTCTGGGTATGGGGGCGATGTTTCTCTCAAAGACTGCTTCCAGCTGAATAGTGGGCGTTGGTTGACTCTTGGGGGGCAGGGGGATGAGAGGGTATCTTGTGAAGTCCTGGGATGTTGCTGGGCAGGTCCTGGAATGAAGTTCTGCCGTCCCCTCGTTCTGCGGCTGTCCATCCGTGCTGTGGCTGGGAACCTTGTGTTTGACAAGACACTGTTGACATAGAAAAAGCTTAGAGAGAAAGAATCATTATTATTTTATTTTGGAGTTGGCATTTGTCTGAGGTAGATCTGGCCTGTCCAGATAGAGACATGTGGTATTTACCTGAGGTAGATCTGGACTTAGTACTCTGCTTAATTTCTATCTGAGACAAGCCTTATTAGAGGTAGTTTATTTAAGGCACCGATTTCCCTTATTAGGTTAGCATTTAGGAAACGCAGGTGATCAGTTGCTGAGTATCGAACAATGATAGATTATTGTATTACATTATTCCTTACCGCCTGGATATTTTTGATGGT